CGGTCGGGCGTGGACGGCTCCGCCCCGCGGGCGGTTTTCGCGCCTTCCGAGCGTTCGAAACGGCCCTCGGCGTGCTGCTCCCGCGCCTCGCCCGGACAATGGGCCCGGGGCCGCTCTTCCTCCCGGCAGACTGACGCATCCGATAAAAATAGCTCCCGGCTCCCGGAACTCGCCCGTCCCCCGAGCCCGGGCCGGCGGACTGCCCGGCGGGGCCGCAGCCGTGGGCGGCGTGGCTGCCTCCGGGAGCCGGTTCGGGGGTCCCGGCTTTGTAGGCGCTGGCGCGGCCAGGAGTCCGGAGTGGGGGTGGGGGGGGAGGGCAGGGCAGCGTCCTCCCAAGGGGCTGGAGAACGCCCGGGGTGGGGGTGTGAGTGCCCTGCTGGGGAGCGAGGGTGGTGGGGTCAGATCCCCAGAAGGGAAAGGAGGGCGCTGGCCTCAGTGAACCACCAGCCCGCACCCCGAGCCGCACCCAGCCTGAGCACCTTCCCACTGTCGTGCCGTTTGCCGTGGTGCCCTGGGCCCTGGCCCTCCGTGATGCCCTGGCTTCCTTTCCTGCCAGAGCTCCAGGGAGCTCCACCCGGCCTGTGCCCAGGGCATCTTGGAGGCCCAGCTTTTCTGGCCTGCTAGCAATGATTGAGTGGAGAGGTCCAGAGGTCAGGCATTTGCATCTTAGACCGAGATGGGGGGATAAGGAGACCTGCTTGCCCTGGATAGGTCAGACAACTCACCTTTCCCAGACAACTTCCTTGGCTGCCTTATTTTCTTCCCACCAACTCTGCTGACATCCCAGGGCAAGCGTTAGCATCTCGGAAGAGCACCCTCTGCCACCCTACTCTGAGAGCTGAGAATTACCTGCCCACAAGGGAACCATTCCACAGGAGTTGCACCAGGCTCCTCAGGTGCCTGGGGCTACCAATGCAGTTGGGGGCTGAAACGAAAGACCACAGCTTGGAGTGGGTGGCACTGTGAGTTAGAAACACCAATGTTCCATCCTGGTTCCATCTCCCCTCCCTCCAGTCCAGTGGGTTATTCTGGTTTGTAAACACATAATGCACCTCCTCTCTGGGTCAGAGGAAACCGAGAGGGCATTATATAACACACAGACCCTGGTGGAACTGCTGTGGCGGAGAGACAGCCAGAGGCACAATGGACCACCACATCCTTCCAACTCCCGCTTATGAGGCAGAAAAGATGAAAATGGGGCCAAGGGGGACAGAAGTGAAAATGATAACCATTTATGAATAAAACCCAACATTTCACAGAAACGCTTTCCTTTACCACTTCCCTTTCACAAGCTATGATGAAATACGTGATTTTGTTCATCCTGAAACGTGGGAGGAGCCCACATCTGTAGAAGGTAGGACAAGCCATCCCATCTTTGGAATTCCCATGGTGGCAGCAGCCATTGCAGTCATCTGCCCTCCAGGGGCTGGAATAGCCTTGCGGATCATTCTGTCAAACCTGCCAGATGAGGAAACCAAAGTCCAGGGGCTTGTGACTTTGCCAAGGTGGAACCTAAATGCAGGCTGCCTGCTCCAGTTGCAATGGTATTCATGCCAAGGGGTGAGGGCCCGCCTGCTCTCTCTCCCACTCCACACTCCACCTACGCACTATTTTAATTTGATGGGGAATGAAGTTGTAAGCAACCTGAATTCAGTTCCAAAAGACAGAAATTCAACCCAACTCGAGTTGGACAAAAATGGAAACACATTCACTGACATAACTGAAAAGTTCATGATTAGGATTGTCTTCAGGCATGGCTAGATCCAGAAGCTCAAAAGAAGACTTTAGACCAGGTCTCTGTCCATCTCTCCTCTGTTTTCCTCTGAATTGATTCTTTTTCTTCCTGGCAGCCTTGGACTTACATCTTTGGTATACATCCTAGAAGAAAAAAGGTGTCTCTTTCCCAATACCTGCAACAAAAGCCTGGATATCCCTTGGGCCTGTCTGGCCCACCCCTGAATCCAGCACCACTGTCCAGGAGGATGGAACACACTGATAGATGTGGCCCAAGGGCTAAAACCGCAGCACGGTGGCTCCCAAAGAAGAATCAGGCATCTGTTCCCAAAAGGGGAAATGGTAGTGAGTAAGCAAAAATAACAGATTTCAGCATAATTTATAATGATGTCATTTAGGTTATTGGGAAGACAGGATTTTGTGTTTGTGGAGTGATTTTTCTTGGCTGTCTTCAAGGCCTGCCCCATAGAGAGCCACCTTCTCATGAGACTGTTTCTTCTCTCTCCTTCCTTGGGGCCACAGACAGGGCCCAGGTTAGTGCCAGCCTGAGACAGGACTGGATTAATAGGCTGGGACCTGGGTATTTGGAAAGGGACAGACCAGACTGGAACCCTCTTGATCTGGCTCCCACAAATAACCTTAATGTAGGCCTCCTTTTCCTCCTTGCGTCTTCCCCTAGTCAGATCTTGTTTTGTTTTTTTTTTTCAAGGGTAGTAGGAAGGAAATATTTTAGTAAAACATCTGATGTGTTTTCTCGGTGCTGTACTAATGATTGCCAACAGTGGTTTTGATTGCAGCCCCATGGTGGGGTTTAGCAATAAAGGGCTGTTTGTTGTCCAGTAGAAAAAGCAGATTAATAGACATTAATAGAGCCTTCCAGAACAGAGCCATTAAGCAGTAACTCACCATAATTGAATAGCAACAGCCCTCCATTCTAATTTCACTCACCAGGTGAGAAGTTGATTTTACAGTGGATAATTTAACTTCTAACCCATGAAAATGTCATTCGACTGAGTCAACCTTCCTTCGAATATGAATTTCAATCAAAAAACACTGGAATTATGAAAAGGAAAGTGATGTTTACCACTGGGTCAGAAATGTGAGGCCTACCTTGAGCCTATTTTGACATGGACATAGCGTCATGGCTAATGGCCCGGGCTGTGTTGACAGACTTGGGTGGGTGTTCTGCATTTCCCACCACATTCTGGCCGTGTGGCAATACCTAGTCTGCTATTTCTCAAGTTCTCCTTCTCTACAATGTATCTAGCACATGTGGTGGTCGTGAAGATTAAATGACATAATACATGTAAAGTGTTTCACACAGTGCCCAGTACACAGTAAGTGTTTAGTAAATGTTGGCTTTGATAACTACAAAGCAACCAATTTTATAATGTACATGGTCATTTGAATAGTGATGGCTGCCGACTTGGCAAGCATTCCTCTGGGGGGAAAATATTTGCTGCATGTGGTATTTTGTTCATTTTAATTAATCAGAATAAGACATTTCTCAAAGAATAGTGTGCACTTGTGTCTTGCCTGAGATGAATTTCACTTCCATCAGCAGCAATGTTTCAGCTCCTCTCCTTCTCTTCTGCATCAAGATGACTTTACACCCAGAAAAGAACTTAATTAGTTCAAGGAAACCAAATGAAGCAACTTGGGAATCATTTTGAAATTTTATCCTAAGCTATTCTCTTTTTTCCTCTAAAGGCTTAGAAATAAAGTGTGCCACCAATTAATACAACTTTTGAGTGGATCCAGTGAATAGAGCAATATAGTCCATCCTTATTAACTTTGCTTTAGTAAGGTTGATGGCACAAACACAAAGATGAGCATCCCATCCATAACTGAGTGTGGATGAGGATAAATATCGGAATGTGGGCATGTGTGTCCATAAGCACGCATGCAATGTGTGTGATGATTTGCGTTTTCTGATTGGATGCTGGGTTCAGGTTCACTGCCCCCTGTTCTTAGCTGTTGTAATACAGGAGTGCCCTCTACTGAGCTTCTTGTATAACAGATGAAGGCCTCCACAGAGGCAAATTCACCTAGTGCTAGTAAATGTTCAATCCATATTTATTGAATGAATGAATGGATAAGTGACTCCCTAACCTGGTTCTCCATCTAGATCTGTGGAACCAGATCTCTTAAAATCCCATTTGTTAAGCTGAGAAAGTTCTTCTGTTTGGCGCTCAGAGCTTGGAGGTGACTATTCTCAGATGCAGGCTTGGGTGCTTACCTATGAGACCAGTACAGCATAGGAGGGATCATTTGCCAGGAGAGGGGACCAGAAGCCTGGCAGAGCACGAGGGGGTATTTCCAGGAAAGCTGTTCAAAGAATCACAGATTGACAGTAGAGAGAGGAAATCAGCATCCAGGAACCCCTGCCGAGATTAGAGATCGGAAGAAATCAATTTTTCCGTCAAATTCAGTGGACAGGCATGGGCAGCCATAGATGAACATGGAGCCAAGAGTCGAGAATGAAGGAGACCAGGGGGACAGAGAAAGCAGCAAGGCCCGCAGCAGCGCAAGCCAGGTGGTCCAGGATTGAAGTTCTTTGCCTGGTGGGAGTGTTTCCTTAATGAAGACCCCCACCTACACTCCCAGAAGTCCTGGCACATACCAGGACGGAGAATGTGCTGGACGGAGAGTGTCTCCATCATTGGAGAGTCGGCTTTCCCTGAGTCCGAGTGAAATGCC